CGGGGGCGGGGGCGCCGCCGAGCGCGGGGGGCGATGGCGAAGCTCCGGGTGGCGTACGAGTACACGGAAGCCGAGGACAAGAGCATCCGGCTCGGCTTGTTCCTCATCATCTCGGGCGTCGTGTCGCTCTTCATCTTCGGCTTCTGCTGGCTCAGCCCCGCGCTGCAGGATCTGCAAGCCACGGCGGCCAACTGCACGGTGCTGTCGGTGCAGCAGATCGGCGAGGTGTTCGAGTGCACCTTCACCTGTGGCGCCGACTGCAGGGGCACCGCGCAGTACCCCTGCGTGCAGGTCTACGTGAACAACTCGGAGTCCAACTCCCGCGCGCTGCTGCACAGCGACGAGCACCAGCTTCTCACCAACCCCAAGGTAAGGGCCGCGCGGCGCGCTCGGGGGCGAGGAGGCTGAGGGCCGGGCCGCGGCGGGGTCGCTCCCGGCGGGACGGGTCGGAGCGCGCGCCCGCCCTCGGGGGGCTGTGCCCGTCTCCGGGGGTGCCCGACAGCCTGCCTCTCCCCACGCCTCTCTTGTCTGGTCTCAGATTTTGAGGCCCGACCCAGCCCAGGTCCGGGGTTTGGAGCAAGGCGAGGAGAAAGTTAACTTTTCCTTGGATTAAAGCTGGAGGGCAGCGGAGATCTCCTGCTTCTGCGCTGGGCGGCTGACCGTTTGAGCTTGGACTGGCCTTGAGTTCCGATGGAAGGACCTTCTTTGGCGCTTCCAAAGTTCCAGGAGTGTTTGTTTGTTTGCTTTTGAACTCCCAGTAGACATTTTAAATTAACTTGAGTCTAAAGATGAGTTTTGGAGGGTCAACAACCAACCTGTCATCAAACGCGAAATTTTGGGGGGGTCCATTCGGGGAGGGGGCGTCTAGAGGTGTCCGAGTAGATTGTCTAGGCACTCTGGCGCGGCCTGGAGAACAGTTAAAACTTATGAAAACAAAGTCTTCAGTGAAATGTATCAAATAGTCCTTTCCTGTCAGCTTTCCGTGTTATAAGCAAAGTGGGGAAAAAACCACCTGGTTAGGACGCACACGGCGGAGAGCAGAGCCAGACTCAGAAAACTGTTCCCAGTGGAGAAAGACACATAAAAAGCAGTGTCCTCAGCCTGTGAACTAATTGAGCTTTGAAATGCACCTGCTTCTGCGGGCAGGGTGATCTTTGCTGCCTTTGTCTTTTGTACCATCCTTGTTGCTTAACTGTGAAAGTGAAGGTGTGCTTTTAGAAGTTACTGAAACTTTTTAGTTGTTAGGACCACACTTGAAGAGCAAGCAGGAATAGTGCAAAAGAAAAGGGAAGCTATCTATTAAGTGTAATACTCAAGCTCTGGAAGTGATAATGTCTCAAGGACAAATGTTATAAATTAATATTTGCTGCATAGGAATTTAAAAAGAAGCCTCAGGGTCGTAGAGACTTTTTTTCAGTATTAAACCAATAAGAGGGGTGCCCAAGTGATAGTAATAATTGAGAGATTGTTAGTTCATCACATGGGAGTTGCTACCGTTGTGAAACATCGCTAATTATTTTAAGATAGTAGTTTAATCATTCATCAATTAGATACACACACTAGTAAATAGTTAATATCTAATCACGACGCTGGCAAATTAGAATCTACTACAAGAAGATTTCTTCACAGTTTCCAGGCAGTTTTGCAGGACCTGGCAGAAACAGTAAATTGGAATCATGGAGACAATGATTTTTAAATCAGTTGGAAGCAGTCACAATGCTTTACGTAATACTAAGATTCTTTCTTGCAACTTACAAATCTGATTTTTTCCCCCCAGTGCCAGTTGGCAACAGGTTTTTGGTGAAGAACCTGAACCAAATCATATTTTATAAAGTGAAGTATTCAGAAAATGGCAGAACTAGACAATAATACATTTATGTTACAGAAAGTGATAAATAATATTTCCTACAATTTTGGAGATTTCCTCAGCCAAACTGATGCCTCTTAATCTGTGAGATACCCTTTATGATCTGCTGTGACATACAGAGAACGTGAAGTTGTTCTTTAACATCAGCTTTCTAATTTTGATCAGTTAATTGCCCAGTTTTAAAATTCATGTAAACGAGTGGTGATGGAAAAAAAATCACTGCAACCAAAATATTGTGGCAAAGGCAAGTACCTAGGCAGATTGTTTGCAAATACCTTTGCAATTAGATCGGCCCGTCACCCACCCCTAATAGATATTGGCCGCCTCGATCTTTTTTTTTTTTTTTTTTGCTTATCTTACTACTGTATCTGTTGAAGGCCTAGTTTCCTAGCAGTTCCTTTTGTTTTGTGGATCCTACACACCTCCCCGCTTCGTTTTCAAGACCCAGCACTGCAAGAATCCACTGAGGCTATCACTTCTTAGAAAAACAGAACAAGCAGTTTTTCTTTCCCTTGAGCTTGATGCATTAATTACAGTAAAAGGTAGGGAAGGGAAAGCATATTACAAATATAGACGTTCTCAACTGTAGACTACTGAAGAAGATACAGATCTTTGCTTATTTCTTTAAAATGTCTTTAAGTCCTATTCAGGTTATTTATGTTTTGCATTAAATCATTATTGTCATATATCCAGTTATATAATGTAGTATTCAAGCTAACTAATTATCCACAGAGAGATGACTTGATGTGTGGATTGACCATAGCAGAATCTTAATTTTGGGTCAGCCACTGTTCCCATGATTAGACTGCCTCTGTGTGCCTCAGAGCTGTATGCGTGAAGAGCTTGGTTCACAGCTGTGGTTGCACAGTGGAATTACCTGGTAACTTTAAAAGGACATTCTTGTGCTTGGGTCCAGCCCTCAGAGGTATTCTGATTTGGCTCTTGAGTATTGGTGGGGTTTTTTTGTTTTGTTTTGTGTTTGGTTTTTCAAATTTCGCAAGTGATTCTACTATGTAGGAAAGAGATGAAAACCACTGTCTAGAAAAATGTCATCATCTACTGTGCAAAAAAAGCCACATTAGAACCAAAAAGCATTAACTGAGTAGTGTTTGTGTTTTCAGGTTAGAAGTTGTTTGTGCTGCTCAGTATAAGAGGTCGATATAAAAAAGAATACTTGAAGGAAATTTTGAAAGAAGAGAATTATTTACAATTAGTATGGAAATTATTATTTAACATTGGTTATTTTAAATGCACACAATTCCAGACGTTTGCTTTCACAGGAAGGGTGAATGTTTAAAAGCACTCCCAGTATGTGGGACAAGAGAGAGTAGATGATTAGAGACTATATATATTTAATGTTTGAGTTTATTTCTTCCTTGGATAATAAAAACCTAGAAATAAAGCATAAGAGTGTTTCTTAGAAGCCAGAACTCTAAAAGTGAGAGAAATGTATTGAAGAGAAGAATTTAGGTAAGACTAGAAAAGACTATAGGTGTTAGCCCGGTGTGGTGGCGTGTGCCTATAATCTCAGTACTCAGGGGCTGAGGCAGGAGGATCACTGGAGTTCCAGGCCAGCCTGTACTGCATAGTGAGACCCTGTCTCAAAAAGACCAAAAAAAAAAAAATATATATATATATATATATATATATATATATATATATATGTGTGTGTGTGTGTGTGTGTGTGTGTATATATGTATATATATAAGCTATAAGCACATTCCCTATAGCTGGATGTCCCCTGCTTTGAGGGTTGTGACTTACAGGCACCTTCTTGCTATTTTTGGTTTTGCTGAGATTTACAGTGGTGCACCCCACCCCAGCACAGTGTGTAGGAAGCGTGGCCTGCTGGGGTAATTTCTGAGCTCCTTCTTTGAAATATATGTTCAATTAAACATACATTGTGATTCAGGGAAATCCATCGTATTAGAAGTATGTAATAAAAGGCTAAGCTGTGACAACTGCTTTACAGTAATTATATCACCATGAAGAAGTGGCTTGCCTCATTTTTCCTCAGTGATTATATTACACAGTAGTTGAAAATGGGCATAAAATTCAGTTGAGCAAGTGCTTTTTGAGGATCTGTGATGATCAAAGTGCTGAGTGGTGGCGCACACCTGTAATGCTAGCAGTCAGGAGGCTGAGGCAGGAGAACCACCGTGAGTTCAGTGCCAGCCATGGCTATAAAGTGAGTTCAAGGCCAACCTGAACTACATAGTAAGGCCCTGTCTCAAAACAAAAAAAGGACTGAGCATAAAACTGGAGGACATGTTCATTCATTTGACAAATATTTTTTCATTACAGAGCTCTTTTTTAGTAGTATATTTTTATAATACATAATATTACATACTTCTTGAGGAATTGCTGCATACATACATGTATCACATCTTGATCATATTTGCTACCCCTTCTTTCCCCTGGGGTCTGCTCTCTCTCTTCCCCTGATCTCCTTCCCACCTCTGCAAAGTCTACCTCCCTGTTTCCTACCATCTCATTTAGCTCTTGAAATTACTTACATATTGGGTTTCTGAGAAAAGAAACCATGCAGTATTTAACCTTCTCAGTCTGATTTATTCCATTAGCACTATGGTCTCAAGATCCATCTATTTTCCTGCAAATGACTCAGATTTATCCTTTATGGCCAAGTAGTATTCCATTATGTAGATTTTTCTGTATCTGTTCATCGGTTGATGGGCATGGGCTGCTTCTGTTATGAACTGTACTGCTATAAACATGGGCATGCACGTGTCACTTTATTATGATTTTTCCCTTTTTTAGGAAGATACCCAGAAGACATGTACCTGGGTCAAATGTAATTTCTACCTTTAGATTTTTGAGGAATCTCCACATTGATTTCCAGGGTGATTGACAAATATTTAGTAATTACTATATGCTCTGTGGACTTCTTGGTTCTGAGACTAGAAAAGAGATCAAAACAGAGACCCTGCACTCACCAAACTTACATTTTGATGGAGGATAACAGACAATAAATATACTGATAATATAACGTCATGTAGTGATATGTGGGTAAAGGAAATTGAGGCAGGGTGAGAGTGTAGATAGTGCTGGGCGAAGCGAAGGATGTCTTTTGGAAAGGATGCTCACCTCACATGGGCCTGGCACAGTGACCCAAGGTGAGGACGTGTGCAGAGGCTCTGAGGACACAAAGTAGTGAATCGCGTGGCTCTCTGGAGAAAGCAGGGTCCACAGGCTGAGCAGACAGCAAATCCAGAGGCCACGAGACACGTGACTGCCGTGTCTGTGTGGGGAGCAGTGAGCACAGTGAGATCGGGCCACAGGAGCCAGGCCCAGAAGAGTGGGAGGGGAGGTTAGGCTCCTGAACACTTCAGATTTTATTCTAAGCATGATGGTGAGCACCTGACATGAAGGAGGGTTGAGATGTGATCAGATTGAGACTTTAAAAACTGTAAATAATCCCACTGGCTGCTGAGGTGAAAGTGCAGTGTGTGTGTGTGTGTGTGTGTGTGTGTGCGCCTGAGAG